ACTTTGTAGCTGCATTCACTCTGTATTTTAAATGTGTCAACTGGTGCCGTGTCTTAACCTTGTCTTTTTGCAGACTGTAAATATCCCATTTCAGAGTCATAGAAAGCTGATAAGTGGCACAAGACAACAAGAATGTGCTGTCCTCTTTCCTCATCTCCTGAATTATTTCACTGTAGAGGTTGAACAACTCCTGTTGAGTGCTTATAAGCCCACTGCTGTAGACAGCTCAGAAAAACAACCAATCAGAGGTTCCATTCTTCTAGGAGACAAAGAAAGTTTAAACAAAAAGTGTTTCTTACAGAAATGGAAAAAATATTGGAAAAATCATAAACCTTAGCAGTCTCACAAAGTGAGTATGGAGGAGATTCCAGACTATGTGAAGAGACTGAAATCAGGTGTAGGCTCTGACGCCTCATGGGGCTTTAGCACACCAGTTCTGTAGCCAGGGTTCACTGAATGCAAAGAAAAGGAGGTAAGCGGGAAAGACTTCAGTGTCCGGACAGAGGAAGGGAGAGGCCCGAAGTCCTTTCAGACCTTTGAAAGGCTTTGGGGGCTGCCGTAAATAACTGTCAATGTGCTTTCCATCAAGAGCTTTCAATACTTGTTCATTTTCAAATGAGGAGGGCAGTACTTCGGAGCTTTGCCCCGCCTACTCTGGTGGATGCGTTGCGAAGGAGTGCATTCTTTGGGGTAAAGAACAGCCAATCAGAGAATGACATGAAAATCAGTACACAAGATGAAAGTTCCTCTATCAGTAAGAAAGGGAATCAATCAGGTGTTAAGGAGTCAGGTGGTGCACAGCAGGTTGACAGTGCTCCCTCTGTCGTTATTACCTAGGTCTACATATTCTCTTCTGTTGAATGATCACTATTAGTGATTCTCAATATCTGTTCTATTATGACATGTTCATTCCTTCAACTGAAACTGCCACACCAGCATCACTTTGACCTTTCAGTTTCCAGAAGTCAATTTCAGTCTATAGGATAAAAGCACAACATCCGGAAGTTTCAGTCAGCCTCCAGAAGGTAACATCAGTATCCAGGAGATAAGATCAGACTCTAGAGGATAAATCAGCTTCTCCAAGAAAACTCCAGAAACTAAGATCAGACTCTAGAGGATAAATCAGCCTCTCCAAGAAAACTCCAGGAACTAAGGTCTCTCTCCAGGAGACAAGGTCAGTCTGCAAGATATACTGTCAGCCTCAAGAATATGGTGTCAGTCTCCAGAAGATAATATCAGCACTCAGAGGAAAAAGTCAACTTCCAGGCGATAAGATCACCCTCTGGAAAATAAAGTCACACTCTAGGAAATAAGGTCTGCCTCCAGGAAATCAAGTCAGTCTCCAGAAGGTAGCATCAGTATCCAAGATGTGGACAGTCATTCCTTCTTTACTCTTTAGTGTGAATTGGTCTTTGAAAGATACTTGCACTGTCAAGGTTGTGGTATTCCAGAGTCCAACTGCTTCATTTACAATCTTGCCTCTGTGCTTGCTATTTGTATCACTCATTAAATCGGTCAGGCTTCCTGCATGTGGTCACTTGTGAATGTCTAGTAGCACCTCCCTCTTAGGACTTTCACTATGATTAGTGCCATTACAAATGTAAGTGCTCTGGTGCCCAATAAGTGACGAATCAGCTACATGAGTCACCTCAGTGAGCTGAATTCAAGTTTATTGCTTAGTGAAGCAAATATCTTTGAAAAGAATTCCGTTCTTTCCAACCATCTGTCATCATCTTTTACTATCGTCTTTTTATCAACCATCTTTTCATCATCACATAGACTCCAAACAGCCTGCTTGTTCATTTACTCTAAAGCTTTTACCCTCTACCTACCTCTACATCTGGAGTGCCTCAGAAAGAAAAGAACTGTCATTTTATATACAATTAAAATGATTGTTTTAAGAGTGTGTCTTTTCTGAGCCTTGATGCTGTTGGCTTAAACCACCATTTTTGTATATTTCTAAACATGTCTTAAGCTACCACCTGTGTTCTATGACCTTGTAGCTGGGAAAACTTTCAGTGGTGACTGGTGACCACCAAAGACCAAGAAAGACCTTGTGTCATATATCCAGGAAAGACAGGAGTGGCTGTGTTCTCCTGAGTCACCAAGGTAATTCTGAAAACTTCAGGGTATTTGATGAGAATGGACCTAACAAGATGAAACTAAGAAAGAAAAATCACCAGTAATCACTGTTAAAAGGACCAGGACGGCAGGACATGGAGAAGACCAGGCAGGAAGAAGGCAGGATGGAAAGACAGGCGTCTTAAAGACCTTAGAACTGAAAGAACAGGAGGGAGAAATGGAAGTCACAGCTCCTCAGAACTAACCCAGATAGACAGGCCTGCTGCTAAAGACGGATGCTGAGATGTGGTATCATCTGGAGATAAAGAGGAAAGAGGAGAGGTGACGAGAGACAGGCACATGACAAGGATTCAAAGCTCCTGCCTGGGGATTCTGGAGGGCAGTCCTTCCACAAGCAACAGGAGACTAAAGGATGCTGTGGATGCTGTTGAACTCATGCTAAAATGAGATTTTATTATGGCTACAGCTTGACACAAAACCTGGCTTATAGTATTATAAAAATATTAACCAAGATTTTATATTCAAACAAAATAGGACAATCTTGGAATTCACATTTCAGAAAAGTTGAGTCCAAGACTAACTTAATAAGTTGTTCCCTCCCTTGAATACACATTTTATTGAATTTCTGTGCATTTCATACAATAGTTCTTAATCATATTTAGACTCCCCCTGCTCCATCTGCACCCCTCTATAGATCCCCCACCTGATTTCATGCATTCTATCACATATGTTAAGGCCTATCTGGTCAAGTGTTTGTACACAGGTGTCTCTCAGTGCAAGGTCATCCACTGGAGTCCAGTCAATCTAAAGTCACTCCCTTAAAGAAGATCAGCTTTCCTTTACACAGCAGTAATCAATTGCCAATAGTTTCTCTGCATAGTTTTGATCTCCTTCCCCTTACCCCAGTTCTATGCAGGGTTTTTGTCCAGTTGAGTTGGTATGGGTCGTGGACAAGCTGTCACCATCGCTGCGAGTTCATATGAGCATGTTCCAAGCACCCTGAAAGCCTCTGTTTCCTTATTTCCATGAACTAACACCGGCTCTCACAATCTTTCCACACCATCTTCCAAGGTATAGAGAATGAAATACAGCAGAGTGCATGTCCTTGTATATTTGTGCATTTGTGTAACAAAATTTCTGAAGTAATCAAGTTAAAAATAAGAAAGGTTTACTTAATTATGGTCAGCAATTTGGGAGATATCTACGATTAGTTTCTTGTAGCAAAGCAACACATGGTGGGTAAACACGTGGTAGGAAAGCCTGTTCCCTTCAAGGCTAGAAATGGAAGAGGGAGAGTCTCCACATCACTGTGGATTACATGCTTCCTGGAAGACCTACAACTAGGTCTAACCTCTTAATGTTTATACCACCTCCCAGCACCTGACAGCCGGGAACTAAATCAGTAACACAGAGGCCTTTGGAGGACATTCCAGGGTCAAACTAGAAGGGTTTGAAGCACAGACATATTTTAATTATGTGAGTACATGGTGCTGAGAGTCTCTTTTTGAAGGAACTATAGACTGATTTTTTGGAAGGTAAATCACCAAGCAATGAGAATATTGGAGGAGCAGAATATTTCAGTTCTATTTTCTAGGAGAAATGGTTTTAAGAGGGACAAAATATCTCCAAATCATTAAAAATGTGACAGATTTGATTACCCACAAATTAAATTGTCTATCAAATATAACAAAAGTAAAAGTGACAAATGCTTAAGAAAATTT